TCATTGTGAATGAGGGGGGAAGTGTGGAGTGGAGACCCAAATCCCATTTGTAGGCCACTGGACATCCCCTTGAAGAGGGGTCTCGGGGAGGAGATGAACCAGTTAGGGTGCAGGGTAGCAACGATGAAACACAACCTTCCTCTAGTTCCTAAAGGCTTCCTCCCCACCCACGATCATGATCCCAGGCTAGACTGGAGGATGTACACTGGTACAGATAGGAACTGGAAACACAGGGAATCCAGGGCGGATGATCCCTTCAAGACCAGTGGTGAGAGTGGTGGTACTAGGAGGGTAAAGGGAAGGTGGGTTGAAAAGGGGGAACTGGTTACATGGTTCTACATATAACCTCCTCCCTGGGGGACGGACAACAGAAAAGTGGGTGAAGGGAGACATTGGACAGTGCAAGATATGACAAAATAATAACTTATAAATTATCAAGGGTTCATGAGGGAGGGTGGGAGTGGGGATGGAGGGGGAAAATGATGAGCTGATGCCAGGGGCTTAAGTGGAGAGCATATGTTTTGAGAATGATGAGGGCAATGAATGTACAAATGTGCTTTGCACAATTCATGCAAGTATGGATTGTGATAAGAGTTGTATGAGCCTCTAATAAAATGATTAAAAATAATTGTGTTACTTAGGCTCAAATCCCTGTTCCATCTCTTAATAGCTGCAGAATCTTTGGGCCTCAGTCTCTTTGAGCATCCATTTCCCCTTCTGCAAAAGATAGGGAAGCACATGTTTATTATGGGGATTAGAGTTGATAGGAACAATTTTTCATATGTGATTATTATATTAAATTTTGTCACCATTTGAGTTAGTTAATTGTGCCAGCCTGGCTGATAATCACATGTGGGGCTAATTAAAAGGCGGAGGGATAAATGGGTGGTGAGTCTCGCCTTTCTGGTTCTCCGGTCTCTTGCTTTGTGATGGTAGCACCAGGGTGCAGCTGTCTTAGCAGGTCCCTGCTTCAGCTTGCAAGATTGACTTCCTACAAGACATCCCAAGGAGAAGCCACATGGACCTACCCCGATGCAGCCCTGGGTGCTGGAGCAGCCATGTGGAGACCCCTGCTAGTGCTGAGATGCTTATTCTGTTCACTGACTCAGCTTTCCTCCTGCAGTTGGCATTATTGCCTCTGTTTTGTGAGGTGAAGGACTTTGTGGACTGGTGTAGGGTATGGGTTAATGTTGGACTTGTGGGCTTGGGCAGCATTGGGTTGGGATGTTTTCGTGATGCACATTTTCTTTGCATAAAACTCTCTTATACATGAGTTGCTGTGGATTTGTTTCTCCAAACTACCCAGACTAATACACCATTATATTAAAAAAAATAACATTTGAAAAGTCCTATTTCATATGGAAAATGTGTTCCAGAAAAGCTGGATGATGATAATATATTTTAATATTAAAGAAAACTTTGATATACCATGAAATATCTATTTATCCTTAAAGACTTCTGTAATGAACTGTTCATGAGCCAGAAAAATATTTCATTACAGAGATAATCCAAATGTATTGCTACTTGGGTCCTAGTTTGCATATGCCCAATTTTTTTTTAATTTGCTTACATATAGCTAGCTCCATGATCAGTAGATGACTGCAAACAAGTTCTCTCAGTAATACACTTGTCTTCATTTTTTAGGGCATTTTCAAAAAATGAAATATATTTCCCCCAAAGTAAAAGTTATTTTGAGATCAGGGCTCACAGCAAATTGTAAACAAATGGCAAGAAGGTAATTTTCCCAAAGCATCAAAGCTTTGCCACAAGTTTATGTGAATGCTACATCACATAAGTCAGAGCAAAGCCAAGCTCACCGCCATTGAGTCAATTCTAACTCAAAGTGACCCTATCAGGCAGTTTAGAAGTGCCCCTGTGTTTCCAAGATTGCAAGTCCAGAACTTAGATGGATTAAATGTTTTAAAGGTTAGAGAGACCTCAAACGTGAACTCAAGACAGAGAGGTCAGTCCATTCAAAAGGTTACGGTGTTTGCTTTTTAAGATTCTCAAGGGAGTGGCTACTTTTTACAGCTCATCCCACACCCCCAAAAGGACACGGGATGATCATAGCAGCTTATTAGGAAGTTTCAAGAAAACTTAAAAAAAAAAAAGACAAGAAAATTGGGCTTGAGATTTTTTTTTTTTCATCATGAAAACACACCTATTCCTTCTTTGAGGGTAACAAGGGCTGCTGTAGCAAAAAACTTAGTTGGCAAATCTGAACCCCCAAGCCCTACAGCACTGATCTTGCACCTTCAGACTTCAGTTGCCCCAATTCACAGAACATCGAAAGGGAATATGCTTTTAGTACCTTGAAGGAGCCCCGGGGGCATAATAGGTTATGGGCTGGTAGCTGGTAAGATCAGTCTTTCAAAACCACCAGTTGCTCCATATTCAAGAAAGGTGAGGTTTTCTGCCCTGGAAAGACATACAGCCTCAGAAACCCTCGATAGAATCACTTTGCGTTGGAATTGAATGCATTACAGCAGGTTTAGGATTTGGTTTAATCTTTTGAGAATGCCCAAACTACCATCAAAAACAACATTTTGTGTGTGAATTGAGGGTTGACATTTCAGATAATCACATTTTTTACACAAGTTAAGCTCCTTAACAAATTCTCCATTAGCTTATCCTACCCGGCCCTTCACCTCTTATGGAATACCATCCTCCCTTCACTCAAGCCAACATCTATCTACCTGTCGAGCCTATTGCTTCATCTCTACTTTTCCCTCCCACCCTTGATAACCATCAAAGTTTGTTTCTTTTAGTGTGAAAACCTTTGTCTTATTTTTTTTCTTTGTTACAGTGGTCTCCTACCCTTTTGTCCTTTTGTAACTGAGCAATTTCACCAGCACAAGGTTTCCAGGCCCATCCATGCCATGAGACGTTTCATGTTTCACCATTGCTTTTCCATGATGCACCCTATTCCATTGTGCATATATCGGTGCTTCTTTATCCAGTCTCTATTTGTGGGAATTTATGATATTTCCATCTCTTGGTGTTGCAAACAGTGTTGTGATAAGCTTGGGGGTACATATGTCTGTTCATGTCATGGCTCCTACTTATTCAGGGTATCAATTCAGCAAAGGGATTGGTGGGTCGTGTGGAATTTCTATTCCCAGTTGTTTGAGGTAGCATCACATCCTTTTGCACAGTGGATGTACATTTTTACAGTCCCACCAGCAGTGTATGATAGATTGATGTTGTGTAAATAGAAAAGAACAGAATTAGTTCACAAAGGGTTACCAAGATGGAAACACTGAATTCATAAAGATATCGATCTACATGGAGGATCTGTTGAGAAAAAGTATCATCAGATTTTTATATTTTCATTTAATAAAGGTTGAAATGAATAGTAGCAATACTTTTTAACTTACCCTAGTATTGGATAATGTATAAATTCTTAATTATCCAGAATTCACTGAAGAATGATTATAAGAATTATAAGAAGAAGAAACTTAGATTTGGAAAATTATTTTTGTATGAACACAATGATGAAGATAGTAATGATGATAACAGTCATGTCTAAATTTTACTGAACACTTGTTATGTATCAGGCATGGTTTTAAGTGACTTTATATGAACTATACTATAATCTTTTCAATAATCCTATTATTATTATTATTATCCCTTGCTTACAGAAAAGGAAACAAACAAATAAATGTCAATTAATTTAGCCAAGGTCATGTGAATAACTAGTTGGGGATGTCCATATAAAAAGTTAGTTTTCTAATAGTTTATGAAACTTAAAGGTGAGTTCTTCTGACTCACATTATTTCTCCTCTCAAATCCTTATCATCCAAACTTCTCCTTATCTGGCCTAAGTAGTCCTTGGAAACCTCATTCTAAGCTAAGGGTCCAAGGATTCTTGGCTGCTAACCATTATTTTTTTGAAGTGTCAATGTATGTGTTTAAAAATGTCTATGCATGTATTTGTGTGTATATGTTATATGTATATATAAGTATATTGCCCTTTCATTCAAAAGAAGTTCTGATATTATTCTCAAATGAGGACTTGGTGTGCACATTCCAGAGTAGTGAAGGCGTTCGGAGTATGGCCATCAGGCACTTTGGTGAATTACTCAGGGATATGTATCAATACACGTGGATGTTCAAAGACGTGGTCTTGGAAGGCCTGGTGTCTCTTATCCTGTTTCTGGAGGATCCGACGATGGTAGTAGTTAGAGTAAGTCCTGCTGTCTTATTTTTCTTAGTTGTGCTGAAAACCGTAGGGTTTTATGTACCAATGGCTGAACAGATACTCATTGACATTCTATTTTACAGGCATGTAAATATACATTAGAAATCTGCTCCTTACAATTTGACTGGTCGATAACATATTGGCTCACAGACAAAAATTATGATTTTGAAATGGTGGTGCTCAACATCTGTAATAATCTTGTAAGTAATCTCTTATTTTTTACCAACAAAAGAGATGTGGAAAGAACTTAAAAGATATCCAAATTTATGAAAATTCTGATTGGAAAGAGAATGGATTCTGGAAAAGTAATATAAAAAGAAGCAATAAATGGGTGTTTATGACCAGGGCTTAAGACCAAAGAAAATTAAAGTTCTAAATTTTTCTTCCTCAATACTAATCATCTACTTATCCACTAATACCAATCATCTACTTAGCCACTTTTTCCTTCAGTTTAACTATTATGCCTTCCTTCATCCCACCCTCTTTAAACCATGGATAAGTTTCAAGGTACAAAGAGTATTTCAAATGATCAAAAGGAAAATTGGAATTTTGTTCCCACTGCCTTATGAACTGCCCCTCTTGAAACCACCTTGAACTGGAATGGCAAACAAATAGGGATGGAGGAATGCTAACCAAAGTTTTGAAACACAAAGTTGCATTGGAAAATCATGTTGTTGTTGTTGTTGTTGTTAGGTGCCATCAAGTTGGTTCTAACTCAGAGCAACCCTAAATACACCAGAATTAGCCTGTGCAGTCCTGCACTGTCCTCACAATTGTTAAATTTGAGGCTGTTGTTATGTTCAAGGACATTGCTGAATGAGACCTGCAAGCAAACACAGAGTTCATACATAAAAAGCCTCAAGTTGTAGAATTAATCCTATATATGATATAAGTAAATAGTTTTCTCTTGAAGCTGCTCTAGATGAAGCAAATGTGCTTTTTCAACATTTAAGATATTTCTGTCTTTTATTACCAGAATATTTCTCACTGGAGCTACCTTACAGATTTGATATCTGATACACTAGGATTTCTGAACAGTTCCCGAGCATATCTGAGGAGGGGAGCAGTTATTTTACTAGGTAAATAAAATTCAATATTCATTTCTTAATATGCTTGTCTTAAAAGGAACAAAATTACTGTACCAATTGATCTCTTGAAAAAAATATCAATTGCCTTTGTTTGTTATAACCAGCACCTGTCTTTGTAGAGAGGTAATATAGAGATTGTATGCTAGCTATACACACATACTGTATGTATAGAAGTTAATGCACATGATAGAAAGAGGGTTCACTTTTATAATACATAGTGAATTCAAGGAGTATAACCCCCACAAAGTGGAATTTTTTTCAAAGCTATGTATTTACTTTTTTTTAACAAAACAAAGTTATCACCTTTTAAGTACTTTCCATTACACTTAATACATTTGTCAAATCTGAAATTCTATTCTTGAAAACATTTTTCAAACTCATCTGTTTGGATACCTGACAGCACCTCCTCATTTTTTCTTCACCACTTCTACATCATCAAATCACTGTCCTTTCCTGTCCTTCTTCATACTTGGAAACAAAAAGAAGTCACATGGAGTGAGGTCAGGTGTGTAAGGTGTGTGGGACAAGAGAGGCATGCTGGTTTTTTGCTTACTGGTGAAGTAGGTACCTCCAGACATTATTGGTAGGCCTAAAGAACTTGGAATACTTTCCCAAGATGGGTAGAAGCTGGGATAACTCAAGCAGTCCCAGTAGTCAAGGGGCCAAGAGGTCAAGGAACAATGAAGCAGAAGTTGAAGAGACAAGGAACACAGCTAACAGAGCTACCTTGGTCTGAAAGGGTACGACCATGGCCTTCTTGGTTTCACAGTCAGATCCTCACCAACTTAGTTATGGAGTGTGGGGCTTTCATTCACAAGTGCTAGGTAGATGTGACTGAATCTGCTGCCCGAAGTTGATGGGATGGGGCTGCCAGGCTGAAGGAGTGGGGTTGTCACTCAGACTAGGAGAAGGGGCTGCCCAAGATTAAGGGAGCATAATTATCATCCCAGTGGGACTAGAAGTTGAAACTGAAACCCAAAGTCAAGGAACCTGCACCCAGAATCCAGAGAGCCTGGCTAACAAACAGTCTCGAGGGCAGTGCCAATGTCTAGATGGTCTCAGAGAGGAGAGGATTGTGTTCAGAACTTGAAAGCCATTGTAAATTGTGCTGCTGAGTTTGAGCTTGCTTGGTGCTTCTATTATTTTTGAAGAGTTTGTAAAGTTTTGGTAGTAAATAATTTTAAAACATTTTTTAGGTAATCACCAGTGAGGTCTACTGTTCCCCAGCTTTTTGTGGAAAGTTTTTAATTATTGCTTAAATCTCCAATTATAGGTTTGTTCAGATTTCCTTTGTTCTTGAGTTAACTTTGGAAATAAATGTCCTTCAAGAATTGGGTAGTTCTATTTTTTTTCTAATGAACTATCACACTTTCACAGTGACTGTACCATTTTGAATTCCCACCAGCAATATATATGATTCAAATTTCTCCACATCTTCACCAACATTTGTAATTTTCCGGTTTTGTTTAATTTTCATGATTCTAGTGGAAATGGTATCTCACTGGTTTGGATTATTCTGTGGTTGCTAATGAAATTGAACATCTTTTCATGTGTTTGATAGCCATTTTAATTTTATGGTTCGGTTATTTGTCCTTTTGTTGTTGAATTGTTAAAATTACCCCTCCCCAACCCCTACCCCACACATATGGGTTATTAGACCTATGAGACAAATGGTTTCTGAAGATATTTTCCATTTAGTAGCTAGTTTTTTCTCCTTTAGGGTAAAGTCTTTTGGTGAATTAAATTTTTTATTTTGTATGGGTTCCAGTTATATATATTTGTCTTTAACTGCTCTCACTTAAAATTAGATAGTCCAATTGTTAAAACCTAGGGACAAGTTTCCCTATATTTTCTTTTTCAGTTTTCACTTTTAGGTCTTTAATTCATGTTGAATTTTTGTATGTTTTTGTGTATAGGGTGGAAATATATCTTTTCCAACACCATTTATTGAAGATATTCTTCTTTTCATGGTGAATGAACTTAGCATCCTTGCCAAAAATAAGTTGATCCTAGATGAGTGGGTTTATTTCTGGATTCTCAGTTCTGTTCCATTCATCTATCGCTCCATATGCTTATTATTATTATATAAGTACTAGACTGTTTCGGTAACTGTAGCTATTTAATGTGTTTTAAATTCGGGAAGTCTGAATCCTCCTCTTTTGGTTTCTTCTCTTTCAACATTGCTTTAGTTATTAAGGGCTTCTATTATTCCATATAAAGTTGAGGATGATTTTTCCATTTATATAAAGAAGTGAATTTTGATTGCATTGAATTTATTGATTACTTTGTAGTAAAACAGTAAGTCAAAATGATTGTTCCAAAAACATAGAAACAAAATTTTGTTTTATTAAACAAGCTTTTCAAAATGTAGAAACTATTGTTTCTTGACACATTTTCCATCCTAGGTCAATATACTAGTAAAGGTGTGTTCCATATGTCTAACCCTTCCCAGGAGGGTCCAAATTATTCCATTTACACAACATCAATATGACTATTTTTGGCACCAAGAGATTCAATTTGTAGTCCTATTCAATTTGTAGTCCTTAAGTTCATTGAGTTTGGGGAACAAAAAAGTCTAGAAGATCAAGATTAGAGTTGTAGGGTGGATAGATTAAGGTGTCCCAACAAAATTCTTGTACAACGCCCCTTGCTATCCTCAAAGAATAAGCTGGTCCTCGGTACAACTTCCTTGACCTTTCATTAGCCATTAACTTCCCTTTGTAGTCACCAAGCAGGGGCCAAACACATTTCCTCATTCCATTCTTCTTTACCCTATTCTGACACCAACCGTCCCTTCCACGAAACTGTACTTCTATCCTGAGTTTGATAATTCCTTGCAATGACCACACAGAACTCACAGGCAATACTCAAATTCAAGGGGGGTTACTAGAGAAATTAAGTGGTAACCACAATCAGGATCAGCACACACTGAGGAGATAGTCATTGGTTCACAGCAACACCTCTCTCCTCAGCCAGTAGCCATGTCTCTCTCCAGTCCTCAGTCTGTCAGTCACAAGCTCCCTCTTCTCTATAGACCAGGAAGCTATCCAGCCATGTCCTCCTCTGGTCTTAAGCCTCTTGGCTACATGATCCCTCTATATGCCAATATGGCAACCTCGATCTCACTGTCCCATAGTCTCCGCACTGTTCCTATTTCTCTGTCTCCAGTGCCTCTGGGCTTGGCCTGAACCACTTCAGACAGGGATGTGGAATGTGTTCTTCCAATGTTACTGGTCCTTCTTCTCTGTGTCCAAGATGGTTCTCATACACAGATGAATGGCATGGCATTTTAGCCAAACATGCCCCAAGGAAAACAAAGGATGGTGTCTTAACTCACACATTCTAGGAAAGAGGCCTTCAAGATACAAAGAAGCAAAGAGTATGCCTTGGTTCACACCCTCTCCTAAGGACAGGATTTAACCCCATCTTAATCCTATCCAGTAGTATATCAGAGAACTCACTCCAGAATGGGATTATAGTCACAGATATAGAGCCCCAAATCATGATACATCGCAAAAGTAAGATAGCTAGAAGACCATATCAACTGACTACATCTCAGGTATATGTCCAAAAGACTTGAAAGAAGTGACGCAAACAGATAATTAGATATCAGTAATCATTGCAGCACTATTCACAATAGGCAAAAGGTGGAAGCAACCTCAATGCTCATCCATAGATGAAAAGACCAATGAAATGTGAAACATACATGCAATGTAATACTACAACCCAGCAAGTAAGAGAAATGAAATCTTGATGCACACAACAATTGGAATGGAACTTAAGGACATAATGCTGAGAAAACTAAGTCACGCATAAAAAGACAGATATTGTATGACATGCTTTATAGAAAAAGGCCAAAACTGGTCAATGTACACAGGCTACAACTTATTAATGGTGGAAGGAGGGGGAGAAAGGAGGTTAATGGTGATGGGAAATTTACATTAAGGATAAGTATTGTAATTGCTGTTAATAAGCCATACATTTGTAAAAGTTAAATTGGCAAAAGCATTTTGACCCAAGGTAAATTGGCATAACATAGTTCATAGACAATGTTCTGCATCCTACTTTGCTGAGTAGGGCTGGGTTCTTGGAAACTTGTGAATAGCCATATAAGGTACAATTATTGGTCTCTCCACTGGAATCTGGAGGAAGTAAGGGTGAAGAAAATAATATACCAAATGCATTATTTCACCGCACAAATATCTGCCTCCATTACCTTGAGAAAAGCATAGAACTAACACTACCAAGGAATCCAAATTGTCAAAGAAGAAGTAAAACTTGCTCTATTTGCAGATGATAGCATCCTATACATATGAAGCTCCAAGAACTTGACAAAAAATTGTTGAGCAAAATCAAAAGATTTGACAGCATGGACAGCTACAGATCAACATACAATAATCAGTTGGAGTCTTGTATATTTATGAAAAAAGCTATGAAAAACGAATAGGGAAACAATGCCACTCACAATAGCCACAAAAATGATGAAATAGTTAAGAATAAACATAACTAGAAAAACAACATAGGTGTACCAAGAAAACTATAAAACACTACTACAAGAAACTAAAAGAGATCTACATAAATGGAAATGTTCCATGTTTATGGCTTAATATTGTGCAAATGTCAATTTTTCCTAAATATAAAATTCTGAGCTCTATCCCAACTTCCTTCTTTTAAAAACGAGTAGAAAAATGAATTCACTTTATGTGGAGAGCAAAGAGATCCAGCATAGTCAAAGAACTATAATAAGATTAATAAAGTAGGAGGCTTCCCACTTTCTGATCCTCAAAGCTCTAACTCAGTAACAGTAGTTAAAACAGGCTAGTCTTGGAATAATAATAGATGCCTAGACCAATGGCAGAAGAGAGAACCAAGAAATACATCCATCCCCCCACAGACGTATGATCTTCAACAAAGAGTTAAAAAAATATTAAATGGGGAAAAATAGAGTCTCTTCAACAAATGGTGCTGGCAAAATTGCATGTCCATCGGCGGAAGAAGGATACAAGGCCTATACCTCACCATGTACAAAAAAATGAATTCAAGGTGGATTAAAGACCTAAATGGAACCCCTAGAGCTATAAAGACCATGAATGAGAAAATAGGTACAAACTTGAGGGTCCTAATACGGGAAATAAGCACACCGTCAAACATAATGAAAAAAATGCATACACCGGAGAAGACAAAATAGATGACAGGGAACTACTAACAATAAGACACTTTCAAAAGAATAAACAGAACTCACAAATGGGGAAAATTTGGCAGCAATATATTGGACATGGACTAATCTCTAAAATCTATATCAACCGGCAACACCTCAACAAGATAAAGAGGGATAATCCAATTAAGAAATGAACAGAGAGTTCACCAAAGAAGACATTCAGATGGTCAAAAACAGAAAGAAATACAATCTCTAGCTTCCTGAGAGATGCATATGTTCTCTTCTGCATCAATTGTTATGATCATGCTGTTCTTGTCTTTTTAAAAATTCATATGGTGGATTACATTTATAATTTTTCTCACCAGTGCAGTTTTCAGTTTTCTTAAAAGTTCTTCACAATAATCACCCACTTGTGTCCTTTGATCAAATCTAACAAGATCACCTTTTGGTATATCACAAACACAGTCACCATAGCCTTGTGAGCTGACCTCTCTGTCTTGGCCCAGGAGAGCTCCTGAGAAGCCAGTTTTGATCCCCCACCCTTCTTTTCTTTTGAAGCACCCTAAGGGGCCTAAGGCATAGGCATATATTGCTGTAAGGACTTGTCTACAATCACTGATTGTAGACACACGTGTTGTTTGGAATAAACTACATGTATAAACTGGAACTCTAATAGCAGTACTTTGTTACTGACCCTCTGGCAAGCACAATTTAAGATGCGAATGAGCCCGTAAAGCTGTATGGAAAGACAAATTTTTGGTTTTCCCCCTCTCGAGGTAGTGTCAGATCATTTATACACCATATAAAAATACCTTGATCCTTACTTTATGCCACATGATTCCAGTTGGAGTGTAGATAGGAATGAAAAATATAAAACAAAGTTTCTAAAAGTCAATTTGAGAGACTGTCTTGATGTCTTTGAATAATGCAAACTTTTTCTAAACAAAGCCCCAAAAGTCAAACCTGTTGCTATCGAGTTAATTCCAATTGACAGTCTCTTGTACAGAGAGGCTGGTGGGTTCAAACCACCTGCATTTTGGTTTGCAGGTGAGGATTTAATCTCTATGCCACCAGAGCTTCTGGACTCTTGTGTGTACTTGTTTCCTAACACGACCAACAGGTTCATTAAAAATTAGCCAAATGTTTGACAAATTGGATCACAATAAGATTAGATACTTCTATTCATCAAAATAAACAATTGACTGCTAACCCAAAGGTCATCTGTTTGAACCCACCAGCTGCTCTACATGCCCCCCCCCCCAAAAAGGGGGTGGTGGTCAATCTCCTTCCATAAAGTTGTACAGCCTTGGAAACTATATAGGGTGATGTTATGTAAGCCTATAGGGTCGGTATGAGTCAGAATTAACTCTCTGGAAGTGGATTTGGACTAGGTTCATTAAAAAAAATGGAAAAGTTCACGAGCCTGCCTTGTAGCTATGGAAATTAATGAACTACTACATACAAGAATATGGATTGACTTCTCAAATGTAATGTTGAGAAAAAGAAGCCATGGACACACACAAGGCATCTGAACAGTGCAGGTGGAGACTGGGAGGGACAGGAGGAATGCTTCTGAAACACTAATAATTTTCTACCTAATAACCTAGGCAGTGACTAGGGAATGTTCAATTGGTGGTCATTCGTTGAGCTGTACAAATGATGATCTGTATACATTTACACACACACCGGTTTATTTTAATTACGACTTTTTATTAATCAGTAATTATTTGAAAGCACTAAAAGATGACTCAATAGTTACCTGGAAATGCTTTGTTTCAAAGAAAGCAAAGAAAGACAATAGAAGATAACACATTTTCATAATGTATTGTGGAGTAACTTCAATTTTACTTTATGCATAGGGTACTTGGCAAAATTGTGCAGCCATTTACTCCTCAGCCTTGAAATTGAAGTGATGCTTGATGGTACGTATTAAAGTTTCAAAGTATTTATTCAGAAGTCTATATAAATTTACTGTTTTAATTCTAGTCACAAAATAAGGTCTATAATGGTCCCAGGGATGGCAGTAAGGTGATGGTAGTGGGTGGGGTGTGATGGGCTTTCGGGTGATTAGTGTGAGGACTGGGATAAAGGCCATCTTTTATTTCTCTCACCCACTCTCCTGTTTCTAGCTCTCCATTGAACCCTTTCATCATTTCAGATTTAGCTAACATCTAATATACCTGAACAGGTGTAGAGAGGTGAGGGTGCATTTACTCATTCATCCAATAATGTCTAGACTCTGGGGATATAGCAGCAAACAAAATGAAACCAAGTGTCTTCCCTCAGGGAATTTAAAATCCAAAATCCAATCCCACTGCTGTCAATCAATTCCTACTCATAGCAACCCTGATAGAGCCCAAGAGGAGAGCACCTCTGGAGGGTTACCAACGGTGTAAATCTTTATGGAAGACGCTGCTGCATCTTTCCTTTCTGAGTGGCTCGGGGGTTTGAACTACCCACCTTTCAGTTAACAGCTGAGCACTTAGTTGTACCACCAGGACAATGATGAGGCCTGAGGCCCTCACATTTTGATAGAATAAATGTTAATTTTTCTTAATTCCTTCTTCTGCAAATGTACATAATTATTCAGTAAATAAGGAGCCCTGGTGGCACATTGGCTAAGTGCTTGACCATTAGGCGCTTAGTTGCTACACCAAAAGATCACCAGGTAACCCAATTCAGTGGTTTGGGAAAGAGCAAATGAGCTGCTTTTGTTAAGATTCCACACAAACCCAGTGCCATCAAGTTGATTCCAACTTATAAAACTACTGCTATGGAGTGACTCTTGCAAGGAGTTCTCCCCCACCCTATACTCATAAGTACAATCTACTCCACACTATGAGTTATAACTGACTCCACCATCAGTGAGTTTTCCAACGCACAGCGACTCTGTATAGAGTTTGTGAAACTGTGAATCTATGCAGGAGCAGAGAGTGTCACCTTTCCCCCACAAACCAGCTGGTGGGTTTCAACCTCTGACCTTAACCTTTAGCAGCCCAGTGTCTACCCCACAGTGCCACCAAGGCTTCTTACTATAAGTATTATGATCAAGAAAAGCCTATGGGAAATTCCACTCTGTTGCATGGGGCTTCCATGAATGGGAATCAATTCAATAAAACTCAACAACACAATGACACCCGATTTTGGGGGTATTACTCATGAATGCACTCAGCCGCCAACCACCAAGGCTGGAAGGTTAAGTGCATCCAGAGGCACAACAGAAAAAAACACAGTGATCTACTTCTAAAACGTCAGTTGTTGAAAACACTGTGGAGCACAGTTTTACACTGCACACGAAGCATGAACTCACCAAAGCCAGAATAATCTGGAGAAACTGAGGGGGGTGGGTAGGGGGGATGCCCTCCAGGACCAGAATGCTTACATTTCTTCAGTTTTCATTTGTTTGTTTATTTATTCATTCAATAAACATATATTTCTTGATTGCTTACTAGATGCAAGGCGTCTAGTTCTCCCCTTTTCTCTCTCAGAATTTTTTTCTTCTTTCTCACCTGTGCTCTTTCTCCTCCCACTCCTTCTTTCTCTTTTTCTGTTTCTTTTAATTATAGAAGAAAACAGTAATTACTCATAATCTAACTGGAAAAAATGAGATTAACATCTGGCATATGTTTAAAGAACATCAGCATTTTCCATATTTATTTTTTAATGAACTTATAATTATGTTATCATTGGTTTCACTGTCCAAAATACTTTTGCATGCCAAAAATACAATTTTGCATTTTTATTAAGTGCACTGTATTTCACTTCATGAATATTACTAATGCAACCAATCCCTTAGCAGTGGTTCTCAACCTTCCTAATGCCATGACCCTTTAAAACAGTTCCTCATGTTGTGGTGACCCCCAAACCATAAAATCATTTTCATTGCTACTTAATCACTATAATTTTGCTACTGTTATGAATTGGGCAACCCCTGTGAAAGGGTCGCTCACCCCACAAGGGTCATGACCCACAGGTTGAGAAACACTGCCTTATTGTTTAATGTAAGACTGATCCTAACTTTTGTCACTATTGTAAGAAATATTGAACCTCTTTATGAATATATATTTTGCTATATAGTAAAATGTTCAGCATATATTAACAATTGGTAAATGTTTAGTGAATATTGTCATTTTTCTTTCCTGGTAAAGATGGAGGTTAAAATTTCCTGAAAGCTGTTGCTCCAAATAATGGGATTTCGGGTAGGGGCGCTCTGTAGATGTTTTAGGGGACTCTTGGGGTTAGATTTTCTAAGGTTCTAAGGAAACTACTGATCCCTTGAACAAAACACCTTCCTGCTATTTCAGCTATTGATCGAATGCTTAGAGATGAAGACTCTTCAATCCGGGAGTTGGCAAAGCAAACAAAAAAGCTTTTTCAGGAAATATCCTATGGATTGACCTCCTCAAGTGTTAAACAAACCTTCAGAAGATTGTTTAACTTCTTCTGCTTCAAAAAATTGAAGATAATTTATCATTATAAAAAAATTCGATATGACAAGGATCTGTTACGGGTAGAATAGCATAGAGAAGACTGTGGAGACGCTTAGGAAGAATGAGAAGTTTGTCAATGCCTTGGAGCAGACCGCAGAAAATGAACTTTCTCCCTCTTGTTAACTGGAGTCTACTTTCTGAAAGGTGCTAGAAGCCCTTGCTGCTCCTTCTTAATTCTTTATTCAAATACAGAAATGAGACATGTGTATCTGTGGCAGTGTTCAAATGTTCTGCTTTATCAAATCCATTAATAATATAGGGTGGGGGGCACATGTAAAGCATTTGATGAGGGGCGCTTGAAATTTGAAACCAGATTTAATCAACATACCTCATCTGATCACCTTCTAAGTGTCAGACACTGTGAAGACAGTGGGGACATACGGATGATATAAACAGGATTTCCATAATCAGGAAGGTCACTATCCAGTGACGCACAGTGTGCTCATTTCTATCCTGCTGAAAGGAACACTGCCTAGAACAGTGTTCCCAAAGGAGAAGAGGAAACTGATCAGGCGATAGGAATCAAAAAACCTCTCGCTGCCATGGAGTCAATGCCGGCACACAGTAACCCTATAGGACAGGGTAGAACTGCCCCTATGAGTGACTCTTTACATGAGTAGAAAGCCCCATCTTTCTCCCACAGAGCAGGTGGTGGGCCTTGCAGATCTCAGTCCTTTGGGTGACCACTTGGCCACCTGGTCTCCTCTACAGTAAAAGGAAGGGAGGAAGGAAATATATACCAAGTAGAGGCACTAAAGTAAAAAGGAGTATTGGAGAAAACTAAGGAGTTTGTTTTGGTAAAACTATGGGCAAGAAAAGAATGGGAAGAACGGGGACCTGAAGAGAAGATTATGTGGTGCTAATGGGTTTAAACTTTTTAAAACAAAAATTGGAGAGTTGAACATAGTAGCTGTGTTAGTCTGGGTAAGTTAGAGAAACAAATCCACAGAAACTCATGTACAAGAGACAGTTCTATGTAAAGGTTAAGTGCGCATCAAGAAAACATCCCAACCCAGAGCTGCCCAAGCCCACACGTCCAACATTAACCCATTAACCCATATTTCCAACACCAATCCACAAAGTCCTCTTCCATCTCACAAAACATACACAATGACATCGACTGCAGGAGGAAAGCCCAGTCAGTGAATGTGTAAGCATCTCAGCACTGGCAGGGGTCTCCACACGGCTGCTCCAGCACCCAGGGCTGCATCGGGGTAGATCCATATGGCTTCTCATCAGGGATGTCTTGCAGGAAGTAAGCCTTGCCAGCTGAAGCAGGGAACTGGCTAAGGCATCTGCGCCCTGGTCTGACGATCAGAAACAAGAGATCCGAGAACTCGAAAGGCAAGGCTCACTGAGCCTTTTATCTCTCTGCCATTCAATTAACCTCACATGTGTTTATCGGCCAGGTTGGCACAATAAACTAACTACCTTAGTAGCTCAACATCTCCCTTCCAGATTAAATCCAAACTTATCTTAGGGTATAAAAGATCTTCTATGAACTGACTTCACATATCTTTCATGCCTCCTGAATTACCCTCCTAACATCCTCTGTCACCTTCCTACCATCAAGACACTTCGCTCCCTCAACTCCCTGCCATTGAGTGATTCATAGTCACACTAAATTACTCATACTTAGATGAAAGGTGTTTTTCCTCTATTGTTCTAATGTGACTTCCCAGTGTGTTATCTTGCAGTTTATGTAAGCTTTCATGTCTCTTCAGGCTCACTTTGCTGGTGTGGGGCAACAGCTGTTTCAGCTTCCTCTGAATCCTCCTATACCTCTTGACTTATGGTCCAAATGTGGATTTACTTCTGTTTACAAAGGACAACAGCTTTTTTGGGCAGAATTTCCATATCATCTGATGATCTGATACCCACCTCATCACATGATGGAAGCACTAAGGAGACCGGCATGGGTTCCAGCTCGAGTTTACCTCCTCTACTTTGTCCTTGCTCTTTCCACTTCATATATATTTTCCCATCCCAACCCCCTGCACTGAAGTAAGTGGTTTGTAAGCTTAATGTTGAATACCTAGTAGATTGTAAACTATGAGCAAGGGAACCATGCTTATTTTCCTTACTAATGTATTCCCGGCACTGACTGGCAAGTAGCATTTAATAAATATGGATTCAGCAAGCAGATGATTTTATAGTGGACCTAGTCTTGCCTTTAGAAAAAAATGTTGTGTGTCCTTCCCAAGCCCCAATGCAACCACTCCTCTCACAAAATTCTGCCTCACTCACTGACCTTGGACCATACCTTGGCTAAAACAAGGTAACTAGCCTAAAGTGTTTGTCTTTTTACCATTGGAAGTAGGGATACAGCCTTTATACACCATATATGGTTCTTGTGAAGGTAACAGATCTAAAAGTCTTGAAAATCGATATATTTGTCTGAAGCCTGGGAAAAGGCATTGTGCTTGGTGATGCGGAGAAGCAGTGGAAAAGAGGAAGGCCCTCAATCCCAGGAGTTCATGCACGAACAGCACGACTGAGCAGAGGATCTGGTGGGTTAGAATCAGAAACTCTGAATGTGAGTCTTTGAACCTGCACGTATTAGTTGCGTCATTTTCATATCTCAGGTAGTTATTAAGACTTCCTCCAATCCTGCTGCAGTGCTCTACTTCATAACGTCCAGCTTCTTGGATTATTTGCTTATTGTACAGATCGAATAAATATCATGAGAGGCTACAACCTTGATGCACATCTTTCCTGATTTTAAAACAGAAAGCATTCCTTTGTTCTGTTTGAACCATTCCCTCTTAGTCCATGCATAGGTTCCCCATAAGCAGAGTGAAATGTTCTCTTACTCCTTTTTGCCTCCAGGCTATCAACAATCAATAAAACACAAGTACATATCTTTCTGGTATTCTCTGCTTTTAACCGAGATCCATCGGAGGTCAGCAACAATCCCCCTTGTTCCACATCCTCTTTTGAATCAAGCTTGCATTGGTGACAATACCAATGTACTGCCGAATGACGTTCAGCAAAATTTTACTTGCATGTGATATTAATGATATTATTTAATAATTTCCACAATCTTTTGGATAATCTCTCTTTAAGATGGTTAGAAATATGGATATTTTCTAGTTGGATAGCCAGGTAGCTGTGTTCCACATTTCTGGACATAGGTGAATGTTTCCAATGCCTCATCAGTGGGTTGAAACATTTCAATTGGTATTCCATCAATTCTTGGAGCCTTGCTTTTCTCTAATGCCTTCAGTCCATTTTGGACTTCTTCCTTCAGTAACATTGGTTCTTGATCATATGTTCCCACTTGAAATCGCTGAATGTTGAATAGATCTTCTTGCATATTTCTTCCATCTTCTTTGATTTATCATTCAATGCTTTTCCCATAAAGCCTATTAAATTGCAATACAAGGCTTGATTTTTTTTTCAAGCTGATCTTTCAGCTTGAAATACACAGAGTGTATTCTTCTGCTTTTGTTTTCTAACTCCACATTTCATTATACTATTTGTCTGTATGAGCTGCCCTTTGAAAATTTATGTTCAGCTCATTTACTTCAACATTTTTTCCATTTGTTTGAGCTACTCTGTGATCAAGAGCAAATTTAGGCATCTCTTCTGACATTGACTTTGATCTTTTCTTTTTTTCCTTTCTTTTTCATGACCTTTTGCTTTTTTCATGTGTGATGCTCTTGATTTCATTCCACAGTTTTTCAGGTCTTCTGTTATTAGTGTTCAGTGAATCAAACCTATTATGATATTCTCAAAATTAAAGTGGATTATACTTAAAGTCATATTTTGGCTCTCATTGACTTGTTATAATTTTTTTCAACTTCACCACACAAATGGTGCTTTGTCAGATACTAATAACCTCATGATAATAATTACTTATCTTTAACTTACCAAGCTGCTATAAAAATAATACATTATTATTTAAACATTTCCTATACCAGAAACTGTATTTGTTGTACAAAGGAAACATCCATACTTACAACAGTAAAAAGATAAAAATTTTAGGCTTATTACCTTGTTTAAGCCAAGATATGGTCCCAGGCTGGTTTGCTAAAATTTTGTGAAAGAAATGATGTTCTTCGTGCTTGGGAAGGACACCTAGCCAGTAGCCTGTTTTCCAAAAGCAAGTCTAGGCCCACTCTAGAATTAATTTTCTTGTTGAATCCATATTTATTGAATCTGTTTGCTACCCAGTGCTGGGAATGCATTAAGAAAATCAGCATAGTCCTTTGGTTTATAGAGTTTACAATCTACTAGGTAGACAACATTAAACAATCTTACAAATCATTTGCTGTTATAAATGGTTATTTGTACAATAGAAAGAAACACAGGATACTCTGAGATTATGTCATAAAGAAACCTGATATAAAAAATAGGGATTTGAGAAATCTTTTAAAATCTCTTTATTTAAGATAAGATCTGGGAGATACATAAAAATATATTATAAGAATTGGAGAATTTCATGCTAACAGAAAGAATATCAAAGGCAAATCAGTAATGAGTCCATCTGTGGCATGTTCAAAAAATAAAGACAATTGGGTTGATGGAGCATGGTATGTTCAAGTGGGATTGGCAAAGGGTGACACTGGAATTGTTGACCGAGGCATAGACTATGCCAGGAATGTAGGGTTTTATTCCAAGTCTGATGGGAAAACATTGAAGAAGAAAATTAGGGGTAAAAATGACACACCATCTGAGGTTTAAAAAGGGAATAATTTGGCTGTTTTGCCAGGAAAAAAATGGGAGGTTGGAAAATGTGAAGGCAAGAGACAAGTTGGGTCATTACTGTAGGTCAAGAAAGTTGTGGAATGACAAGTTGCAATAGAAATGATAACCCATACCAAACCATGATGTATGGAGAAATCTATGCCTAAAGTGTATTTAAAACCAACCCTTTCAGCCCCAGGACCTTTGTTCCAAAGAAAACAAATCACTTTCAGCTACTCCAAGCAGGTTTACCAGTTTGGGTAAAGACTTTACTTCCTTCCTAAAAACCAGCCTATAACTACCTCCCACCCTCAAATGTATTTCTCTTGTC